TATTTTAAGGCAGCACAGGAATACTTTTCCTTCAGCTCGCTACCATATCTAATCTACAAAAACGGAGCATGTGATACAATATGTGCGCATTTTGATGCAAGCGCCCATGCCTTGGTGTGATAACGTGGACAACAAAGCACACAAATCTCGCTCACCGACCTGCGCAACAGTGGCGCAGTTGGCGACGAAGCACCTTTGTGGACGTGGAGTGCTGGTTGCAGCCGCTTGGAGGACTGTGTAGGTGGGTTTGCGGGCAGTCAGATCGCATTTGTGGTTGCTGATCGCGCAATCTACTAGATGCCTTGCTGTATGTCATGACTTGTACTTGCAGTCGTCCGTGAAGCCTTGGCATTTTATGCCACGAACATGTGTACCATGGCTCTAAGATTGTTTTTTGACGATGGAAAGGGTACTTCCAGCTGACGTATGATAGATCCTGGTACTTTGGGCACAAGGGCCAGAATATATGTTAGGCCAAGAACCCATATTCATGAAAGTCCATATCAGTTCAGAAGCCTGAAAATGATGTAACATGATCACATATATCGACACAAATGAAATTGCAAATAGCATGAGCAGATGATGTTACCAGCATATCAACCAATGACTCCAATGCAGACATTGCCAATTGAAGAAGACTGTTGTCATGGTCAGCAAAGCTAATGTGTGAGACCAGTATGTTGGTAACCTTATGGTGGGCAGGCAGAGGGTGACAGATTTCACTCTTAACATACTAGCACATACTAGCACAACAGCACATAGCATGTAGATAGCATACTAGGACAATTACATGTGTGTCAGATGGCCATGGGGCCATTTCAGAGTACTCAGGTATGTGGTATATATGTACCAAAGTTGCTCAAATTGTTGACATAGCATCACCCTCTACATGCAGATTCCAAAACATACCTGCTTTGCCAAACACACTTGACATATAGTGGGAATTTGTCATAGGTATCAGTGCAGCAAAAAAATTGTGTGCACACCATTCCTCATGTGCACACACCATTATGCACCAGTTTTTGAGTGCTCTGAGTTTGTGCACATGGTTGCCATCAGCTTCAGTGCATAGGGAGCTAATGTATCAAGGAATTGTCATGTTTCTAATATAATTTTAGGCAAAATACCCTAAAAACACTTTCAGAATGTGCAGCAAATTTGAAAATTAGGCACAAGGTCACCTGACCTAAGTTCAGCATGTGAGAGCTCCAAGTTCAGCTCACAGATATTGCATAGATGTTTAGTACATTGAATGGATGTGTGCAGACTGACTCTGCACCAGACAAGACATAATCTATTGTCAACATTTTTAGTGGAACTTGTATTTTTTGCAGACTGTAAACCACTTTTTAAAGTCATTTCATGCCTATATATTATATAGACCTGATATGTCACATAGATATGTTGTGTTAATTGTTTTAACTAGCAGCACTGATATAAGGGACAATGTATTGGTAAATCTGGTGAACACATAAATTGCACTCCTTGTGAGCATAGGAGTTCCAGAATGCTCTAAGTGCCTGTCTGCATCCACCATTCATCAGGGATTGAAACTTGGTTTTACAAAAAACTTGAAACTTATTGTGGGCCTTGATCTTTCAAGAGTTCAGTTCAATTTTTCAGCTGCTCTGTGATAACTACTACAAGTTAGACCTTGTGGAAGGCAAAATCAAACAGGTCATTAGCAAGCACCATCAATGGGGCATATTCAGCCAATAGGACAATGTCAGTCAGGACGGTTACAGGTGTTTACCAGAACTCTATGTCATCAGCTGTTGAGAAAGCTAAATTTGTTCTGCACAAGGTCATTACAGATAATTTTACTCTGCTGGTCCCACTGACTGCCTATATTATATATGCCATGAGTGCCCACTCATCAGTCATCTGGTGAGAACAATATTGAGTCTCAAACTTACTTACTCAAGTCAACTAATGTAGGGTATGAGTTGAATTAGACTGCTGGTGATTGTGTGTACCATTCGAGCTCTACCTACATCGGCCACGCTACAACAATGTTTGGCAGATAGACAACCAGCATGTACAGGATGGAGCCACCTTGCAGCACTTGACAACAACCCATCATCAAAACCTAGGACAACCCATTATCAAATCCCCACCAGATAGATAATAACAGAAGACATGATCATCACCTGGCACTCAAGCAAGAGAAAGCTTCAGATCCAGGCATTGTCTACACTGTCATACAGACCTGTCATTAATTGCCACCTGATGGTTCATGGGACACTGAAGCTCTTTGATGGAACACCTCCCCATGTAGGCTATAGATAGGAGAATGCTAAGAAAAGTTTTTGGGTTGTGTCTTTTTGGGTCCTCGTTTCAAGCTGCTGGAACTCTTCAGGAAATGTGCATTTTATATCATGAGTTGTTAATTACCTGTCTGGGTAGTGTATCTTACAAACAAGTGTAATACTTGCATCATAATTTTTTTCTCATCTCTCCTAATTGTTTGCCAACTTTACCCAGTTTTAGCAATACTATGTTCCCTTATCTAATCGCAGCTTGTTAACATAAGCACAAGTAGCCAGTTGAAAGGTGACATGCCCACTGGCCAACAAGGTCAACTGGCTGGAGGGATTAACTTGCCCCTGTTCACAAGATTTTAAAACCAAAAGGACTAGAAACACCAAATTCACAATGTATGCAACCATGTATGCCGACCCTTTTTGCCAAATTTTGAGATTCCTAGGCTGTGTCCTTCATCTCCAATAAGACCAGACTCCAGATTAGTATCTGAAGTTCTTCCAGAACCCCTCATGCAACCATCTGTATTCAAGATACCTGTTCTAAGTCAACATTTACTAGTGTTCATTTTGGGTCAGTGACCTTATTTGATCTTTATATGGTCACAGCAGCCAAGAATGTGGGAGATTGTTTTAATTTCTGAATTGAGATCAGCAAGAAGGGTTGGGTTAGGTGGGATGTGCCTAAAAACAAAACATCAGGGTCAGGGTTGGTCTAGGTCAATGACCCTTTCTGACCTTTAATAAGCCCAAAGAAAATGTGTTGATGCTCCTGTGATGAAGAAATTATAAATGAGCATACAGTACCAGCTCATGCAACAAGTTCTTCAGTGTCAAAGCAATTTAGTTTTGACCTAGGTCTGACCTTTATACCTGACCCAAGGTCAACAAAATTATTTAACCTCTAGTTTAATCAGTTTATTGTCTAAGAAACTATCTCAGAGATACATGGGCTCATCAGGCACTCTGTTGTCCCCTCAGATTGAGTGGTTCCCAAGGAATTGCCTTTGCTAACAATTATGGCCTGACTGACCTGCCATGGATCATTGCCTGTATAAGGTACACCTAACTTTTGTGCTAAAAGATCTGCCATTCAATCACCTACAACTTTGCAATGCTTACCATGGCTTTGCTGCCCCAGTCAGAAGTTATTCTGGGAGAGCTGTTGGAACAGATAATTAGCCCCCATCCATCCAAGTGCATGTTTAAGTAATTCATATTCGTGATTTCCATCTGTATGTTATTATGTATATTTGTGTCCCTGTACGAGACGTTTGGGATGGCTAACGTGTTGGCCTCAATGGCCAATGGAACAACATTCTATCACTTTTGCTCATCATGGTGAAAATAGCTAGCCCCTGAAAATGTGATGTTGTTGGCTGCATATATTGGTGTGACTTTTTTTAATCAAATTATCTGTTGTGACCTTGTGTTTCTATAACTCTATGTGTTTTGATATTGTAGGTCCAGTGCATTTCTAGAGATTATTGTAAGGTCCCAAAAAGCAAGCAGGCCAAAGCTTTCCATGGGATGATGATTTTGACACATCTTCATAGCATTTATGATGAACTTGCACACAAAGTGAATTGGTCAAAGTTCACATGACCACCAAAGGAGCTGACCCTGGTGCCTTTGCATTACAAAATATGGGACTGCCCAGTGTCATTACTATTACCTAGCTATGAGGCAGCAAATGGAAACAAACCAGCTCAAATATCGCCATCCATTGTTGGTGAGGCATGCACCCGCTAACTTTCGGGGACCTGTGGAATGACTTGTGCAATTTTTAACTAAGGTATCTCATTTTAAATTCAGTTGACATGGTTTCCTTGTTCTTGGAGGAAGCACCATCAACTTGTTTTTGCTGGCTGTTGGACATAAACAAAATGAACTTCATGTTTCTTACCAAGTTTCACAGTTTGATATCAGTATATTGTCATGTTATCAACAAGATGCATGGCCAAGATGCATGATCAAGTGTTGGACCACTATGAGATCATTTGAATTTGACCCAGCAGTAGATGTACAGCAGTTTCACCCAGAACCTCTTTTGGATCAGACTGCCACACTCCATCGCACTGCCTTACAGGCACCTGTGCTTCTGCTCATCTGGTCACAATTCTGCAATTTGGCAGATGAAGCATGACATGGCCTGCATGTGTCCCAGGCTGTGGCGGGGTCAAATCGCATCTGCTTGTGTGGCAGTCAGGGTTGGCTGCATCACATCTGCTCGCTTGTCATTTGGTCAGGCTGTGCGACCATACCTGTGTACCCAGGACGGGAAACTCGACATCACTGTGGTGCTCCCAGGAAGGGGCTCTACTTTGACTTAAAGAAGGAATGCCCGTTCCTGGCATGTGTTGGTGCCATTTGTTTTGTTATGTGGCTCACCTGATATGCCTGGATAATGTGCATCCTTTGCTTTGTTTGGTGAAGGAAGTTGAAAAGTTCTGATCCTTTTTTTGAGCAACGTGGTTGAGATGCCTTTTTACCATTAGCGCGATATTGATATCCTCTATGACAGAAGCGCGACTGGCGGTCTGGCAAAAAATCTGCCGCAGCAAAAAAGAACACACACAAACAAATGTGCTGGCGAGGTGTGGTCTCGCCGTAGGTGTGCTAGCATGCGATGTAGTAACCTCGGTGACTCCAGAAACGGGAGGCACCGGCGGAGAAAGGGCTCAGGCAGCAGAGGTGTGACGTCACCTCTGTCTGCTCCGGCAGTGACGGTGTGACGTCATGGCGTCGGAGGAGGTGTTCGAGGACTGTTGCAGCTCAGCCGACGAGCTGTACGAAGACTGTCCGAGCGGCGCGGACTTTGCGGCCGAGCGCTGCGCCAGCCGGCCCGCGGCTGCGCCTGTGGGCAGCCGCGTGTCCGCGCCTGTGGACAGCGGAGTGTCCGCACCTCTGGACAAACGAGTGACGTCCCCCGGCGGGGCCGCCGAAGAGGCGGCGGTGCTCGTCACCGCGGACGGTGCGAGCGTCGACGAGGTGCGCGACTCGTCGGCGTCGGAGGGAGAGCGCGACGCCGGCGACCGGTCGGCGCACGGCGACTGGCACGTTCTGAAGAACACCACGCCTCCTGGTGACGCCGCCTCGTCCGACGAAGGCGACGCCTCAGAGTCCGACTCGGCCAGCCGTCTGGCGGCCGGGGACTGGCACGTGCTGGCGCCCGGCGCGGGCGCCGCTTCGCCGCCGGCCGGTGACGCGCGGTCGCCACGGACCGCGGACAGCGCGGCGGACCTGAGCGTGTGCAGCGGCAGTGCACAAAAGCGGGCGGCGGACGGTGACGTCACGCGAGAGAGCGACGGCGACGACGAGGCCGAGCTTCTACCGGATCCGGACGCTGTAGACGAGGAGGCGCTACGACTGCTGGACGAGTCGCAGCCGGCGGCCGAGCGCGAGGCGCGCCGCGCGCGAGCCGCCGACCTCAAGGCCGAGGGCAACCGGCTGTACGCGGCTGAGGGGTACGACGCGGCACGTGAGCGGTACACGGCAGCGCTGCGGCTGTGCCCGCTGGCGGCCTGCCGCGAGCGGGCCGTGCTCTTCTCCAACCGCGCCGCGTGCAGGGCGCGCGCCGCCGACGAGGCCGGCGCGATCGCCGACTGCAGCCGCGCGCTGGAGTTGGACGCCGAGTACGCGCGGCCGCTGCAGCGCCGCGCCGAGCTGCGCGAGCGCTCCGAGAAGCTGGATGAGGCGCTGGAGGACTGGAAGCGGCTGCTGACGCTGCAGCCTGGCCATGCCGAGGCGCGTCGTGCCACCGCTCGCCTGCCGGCGCAAATCGCAGAGCGCAACGAACGGCTCAAGGACGAGATGCTCGGCAAGCTCAAGGATCTGGGCAACATGCTGCTTCGGCCGTTCAACCTCTCCACGAATAACTTCCAAATGGAGGAGAACGAGGCGGGCGGGTACTCGGTCAAGTTCAACCCCACGTGAGGGGGGGGGGGGGGGCACGGCCGGGCGGAGCGCGTGATGACTTGAGCCCGCCCGGCGGCGGCGCTGTGTGGACGGGGACGAGTCCTGTTCCACCGCGAGCCGTGGCGGGCAGGGGTTGCCACGGAAATCTGTAGGTAGTCTCGTGTGTTGTTTGGGGTCGGATGCGCGGGTCGCACTTTCTCGGACAGTGCGGCTCACGTGTGTGTCGGCGCTTGCCGCCCGTGTGACACGGCCGCGCGCGCGAGACCGTGATCAGCTGACAGCTTTGTTCGTGACGTCAGGAGCGAGCTGGAAGAGTGACAGGGGTCCGCGGAAAGGATATGGAACGCCTTGAGTTGGGCTGAAGCTGGTGTTTATGAGTGTGATCAAATGTATCATGCATATCCAGTTTAGTTTAGTGCTTCGTGCGTCGAAACGATGGCAGTCGCAGATAACGAACGTTTTGTGAACTGCGTTTGGTCAACGTGCTTAAAACCGTCTATAAATGTTTATTTTGGCATGGTTGAGCAGCAATAGGACCGCATTTTGCGACGCCAAGTCTCAGTTCGGAACGCCGAAAATATATTTGTGTGTCGTAGCGGTTAGCCTGGCTTGAGCCTGGCCACGAGGCACGAGTACTAGTCGGAAATCAGGCCCGATGTGAAAGCGGCTGTGGCGATGCGCCCGAGGCCGCTGGATTGCCGATGTTGACGATATGTCTTCTGCGTGTGTGTCTGAGGTACTTGCATAAACAGACCATTGGTGCAAATGTGGTGTGCTTGTCGCCCGGTGGCGCTGTTTTTCGGTCATACTGGACCACCTACCCATATAGGTTCCTCTCAAGATATGCTCATGCTAGTATCCTGTCCGGTATCGTGGATATCAGCAACAGTTTGGGTGGCATGTTTCTTTCGGGTGGGCTGCCCGAATTATGTTTATGCCACCGTGAAGGAAATCATGATGCAGACCGGACGGTCGCGGGAAGGCATTAAAAACAAAAACAAAAATGAAACAAAAGGGATATTGTGCCACCACTTTGGATGGCAAGACAGGTCGCGTGGCACGAACCAACCCACCTCCCTCGTTCAGTGTGGCGCGTTGGTTCACTGAGACAAACACGGATGGTGCTGAAATGACACGCGGACGATGTCTGATAACACTCCCACCCTCTTTCCTCTGTTCGTGAGATAGACGCGGGGACAGTGAACGGTCTGTAGCCGGATGGTCTCCCAGTATGTCTCCCGCTTCCGGGGTTGTCTCGTCGCCAGATGGCTGAGCATCCGCTGCCCCGGCAGATGGTCACCGCGTTCAGCTGAGGCTTCGCAGACGCTGTCGACATGACCTCGGCGCTGGCGGAGCTGTCTGAGGCACTGGCCAATGTTGAGCTGACCGTGCCGGCCGCCCCTGCCCGCTTCCTGCGCCTCGAGTTCCTCGAGGACGCGCCTGAGGAGGCGGCCGCCGCTGCCGGGGACGCGACTGGCGGCCCGAATTCGGGCGGCGGCGCGCTGCCGCTGGCCGCCGGGCCCGTGTGCCGCGCGCCGGTGCTGGAGGCGCGACTCCTCACTGCCGCCGGCGCGCTCAAGGACGTCTGGTCGGTGACGCTGGACGTCAGCGGGCTCGACGCGGTGCCGGCCGCCGGCGACACGGTCGGCCTGCTCTGTCCGAACGCGGCCGACGAGGTGGCCGCCGCGCTCGACCTGTTGGGCGCGGAGAGCCGCGCCGACCGGCCCTGCCGCCTCTCACTGCTGCCTGGCACCACGAAGAAAGCGGCGCGCGTACCGCCCCACCTGCCGGAGCACGCCTCGCTTCGCCACCTGCTGACGCACTGCGTGGACCTGCGCGCCGTGCCCAAGAAGCCTCTGCTGCAGGCGCTGGTCGGTCACGCGGCCGACCAGCGCGAGCGGCGCCGGCTGCGCGAGCTAAGTAGCCGCCAGGGCGGCGGTGAGTACCTAGAGCTAGTACGTGGCGCCGGCCTGGGCGCCCTGCAGCTGCTGCAGGCGTTCCCGTCGTGCCGGCCACCGCCGGAGCTGCTGCTGGAGCAGGTGCCGCCGCTGGCGCCGCGACCCTACTCGGCGGCCAGTTCGGCGCTGCTGCGGCCCGGACGGCTGCGCCTGGTGTTTTCGGTGGTGGCGGCGCCGCGGCGTGGTCTCTGCACCGGCTGGCTGGACGCGCTGCTGCGCGCCGACGCGCCGCCCCCGCCGCTGCGGCTCTACCGCCGCCAGCCGGGCGGCTTCCGCCTGCCGGAGCGCGACGACGCGCCGCTGGTGATGGTGGCCGCGGGCACTGGGCTGGCGCCGCTGGCCGGCTTCCTGGAGGAGCGGCGCGCCCGCGGGCAGCGCGCGCCCGCCTGGCTGGTGTTCGGCTGCCGGCACCCGGAGCTCGACTTCCTGCTGCGCGACGAGCTGGAGGCGGCGCTTCGCGATGGCTTCCTCTCGCGACTGGACACTGTCTTCTCGCGCACCGGCGACCGACAGCGCTACGTGCAGCACGTGCTGGCGGAGGAGCAGGCGCGCCTGGCCCGCTGGCTGGTTGACGAGGGCGCCGTCATGTACGTGTGTGGCGACGCCAAGGGCATGGCAGTGGCGGTGCTGGACGAGGTGGTACAGACCGTGGCGAAAGCTAAGGAGGTTCCTGTATCTGAGGCAAAGAAGCTGGTGCAGCAAATGCAGAAGGACGGACAGTACAGATTAGATGTTTGGTCTTGATAATGTTGCCACCGGTAGCCCGGATGGCAAGCTGTGTGGCTCGGATTATGGCTTTATCTGAACATAATGTGTGACTGCCGTAAGCTGGCTCGCAGATGCCTTACAATTTCCCGTAAGTTTTGTGGACCATCCAGCCAAGGACCGTCCAGCTTTGACATGACATTGAATCACAATGTCAACATCGATTCCGAAATACAAATCATGAATGCGGCAAATGTTTATATTCTTAAGAATGCTCTTTTCTGTCGTCATTGACAGGGTATACAACAATGCCATGAAAGAATTAATGATCTGGGAAATTAGATTGCATGACCTAGAAGCGGCGAAAGTACTACCCCGAAGATTCGCCTACGGGATTTGACTCCGTTTTCTCAATTTTTTTTTTGGCTGGGACCATGTTCTTGGAGGGGCGCGGAAGCTTCCTTCCCCTTTCCCAACTTAACAGGAAACTACATCGCTACTTACACCAAAATCGAACATGTACCGTTTCCCGCACCTTCAATACTTTCCATGTTTTCCTGGCGTCGTAACGAGCCAACTTCCTTACTCTGAAATCCTGCCAGGTCCCTGATAGCCTAGAGGCCCCCTAATGTCCGTACCGGTGGCTTGTTACGTTAGAGCGACCCACCCACCCGTGGCGTGGTGGGTTGGATGCGTATTGAAATGTCCGGAGTTCACAAAGTCCAGTGCTCAAAAAGCCCAGAATCACAGCATCCAGCGTTCATAAGGTCCGGTAACGTCCAAAACCCTGGACAGAGGAGAATAATAAAGTCCAGTGTTCATAAAGTCCACCGTGCGCGAGATCCGCGGGTTGGGAGCTATCCCACCTTCCCGCAACCCTTCACCTAATGGTTCGGATATTGCCCGATAGAGGGCTACCGGAACCGACTTCGCCCGCCTCAGCCGACGAGTGAAGTCATGCGGTGCAGTGCTACTCAGTTAAACCACTGTGCATGGATATGGACAACGTTTTGTTTGAACGCACAAACTTTGCCGCGTCAGCACGCCCTTGGCGGCAGGCGCATTAAATAATTCAAAACTTTGATCCCTGGCTCGTGCCATCGGAAATAGCTGGCTATTCGGCAGCGGCTGCACGGTAATCGTGGAAAGCACTTGTCGGATTGCCTGCTGTTTGGTATTATGGGCTATGGATAAGATTATCCGCGGTATTTGGTTCCGTTATTTACTGCATGTGTTGGTGATGTTTCTCATTTTTTGAAGGAATTGAAGACTCATATGTAAGGCTGACTGATTTGATATGTGCTCCAGGTAGGCGCGCGTATAGATCCCCTGCTCCTGGCATATATTGTTAGTGATTTTATTTGCCTGATTTCCCTCCCTCCTCCAATTACACATTATTTCACACGCTCCTGCAAACGGGACTTATTCCTAATTATACATGTATTTACTCTCAAAGAGATGGGGTGGGGGTGTCTCCTCAGCTGAACCCGGATACTACTCCCTGGTGAGACACGTTCAATGGCCCAGCTTACTCGTTTCTTCGATTAAGCACGTTTTAAACGGGCGTGGTTTACGAAAATAAGGTGGTTGGCTGGGCGATGAAAACACAACGAAGAGTACCGTGATAATATACCAATGAATTGGTTTCTCTCCGAATTTGGCTCAACCGCGCTCAAAGGCGCTGTTGATTCACCATCTGTACGGCGGAGCCGAGTGTATATCACTGAGCTGGTTTGCGATAGATAAGCTGAATGAATTGGGAGAATCATGAGCTTGTATGCGCCATCCACTTCATTAATTTTGACACGCTTTCTTCCTTTTACGCTTCAGAACCTCCAAGTATAGAATTTCGGGTTCAGCAACACCAGTCTGGAGTTTATCGAGACGGGCGCAGTTCACCCGCAGGGGGGCGATGGTGGCATGGTGGTTAGTGGTTAGGGCGCTCATCTCTTGACTTTTCTATCCTGGGATGGAGTCCTAGCCACACCACTACAGCATCCCACGTACCCAATGCCTGATAAATGCGTAAAAGAGGCGTACCACCTCGAAATAGCCATAGCAGCCGGTGAGACGTCAAGCCCCAATTAGTATTGCATGCCGCCCCGACAAACCAGCCGCCGCCCGTCAAATTTGCAGATAATGCTTCCTCTCAATCACTGTATATATGTGGGAATGATAATGTGTAATCGGTTGGACGCGGAGCTCGGACATACAGGCCTGCCCAGAGGCTGCCCAGCTCGACGGTCCGGCCGGCAGCCACGCTCGCGGCGGGCCGGCGGACGAGGCAGCCCGGCCGCCAAAAAAAGGACGCATTCACGCGCGCGCCGTCCTTCGCCCAAGAACCAAACCCTGCCACACCGCGCGCGAGGCCTGTTCGTGGGGCTGCCCGTCCGCGTTCGAAACGCTGCCAGCTCAGTCGGGCAAGCCGCCATCTTTGCGTCAGAGCCCGAGGACCCTGACTCGGTTTCACTCGGTTCGTCGCGGTACACATCCCGGCGGACCGGACATCCGGACGTGTCGGACATCTCGGGATCTCGCTCGCGCTGTACCGGTGCCGTTCCCCCCCCCCCCCCCTCCTTCTTGACGGGCGCCGTAATGGAAGAGCCTCATGTCAGTCAGGAACCAGCACCGGACAGGGTCCCTCTGCCCGTTTTCTCTAGGGCCCAAATGCGTCGGACTGTTAACCCTGTGCTATTTATTAAACCCGCTGCTCTTGGGACCTTTTTGAAACGGTGAGTGGCCCGGCGTTGGTCCAGGCCCAACCATCCCGATCAGAGGGTTTGCGGCGTGAGAGAGGGGACTAGTGCACAATATGTAGACAGTAACCGATTGACAATCTGAAAGGGGACGGAAAGGTCCTTCAGCCCTAATCGGGGTCTCAAGTCTTGGCTGAAAACTCTTTTGGGGTCTGGCTGTTGAAGGGAGGGGGCGGGGGGGGGGTGGAGGGAGAAGGTCGAGGGGTCCAGGAACCCCCTGGGAAGAGCCCTTTTCGGAACCTTGAAGTCTCATAAATGACCATACTGAATGAGAAGAACAAAAATATTGCCTAATAAAAATTCTGACAATACCGTAGCAGCGTCTAGCAGTCCAAGAATCCCTCGCTGGTTAAGTTGTAGACTTCATCTGGCCGCTCAGTCGGGACATAAGGTTAAGTCATGCATCAGATTTCGCGCCAGGTAGTGATCCAGAATCGGCCAAGACAAAGGACCATTGTAGGTTAAGTCGATCGGATTTGTTATCGAAAATTAGCTTCAGTGTGTGTCCTTGTTCACTGGCGATAGTCTCATGGCAGGGCACTGCGAATACACCTTAAAATATACTTATGTCTCAAAAACGCTGCCACTCCAGATGCTCACATGCATCATATGTATTTTCCTGATTGACGGTGTCAAGTTATTTCGATGACTCTTTCGGTGAAAATGACACCACATCGTGCAATTTTCTGTTTCTTGTAAATATTGTCTAGCCTCCGGAATAGCTGGCTGAATTATGATGACCAGAGTGACATAACGGGAGAGCTTTGGCACCCACAGATCGGAGAGCAAAAGTGTGGATTCACGTAATGTTGCGCTCAGGAAATATGTGGCTGATGGTAATATCCCTTCTGCATGTGCGTTGTATGTATGTTTGAGCACCTATGCTCGCTGAATGTCTTAGCCATCGCCATGATTCGCCGTTTTGCATAACTCGGACCGATGGGGGAGAGGGGGCTTGATACGACCCTCCCCCGGCGTTTCCAAGCTTATAAAGATAGAGCTTGCCGAGAACAGCAGTGTATTGTTCCGTACACGATCTCACGATTGGTACTAGTTTTTATGTTGTTTACATCACATTTATGTCAAAGGTCGAATTTTACAGAACAACGCACTTTGTAGCTTTATTTTATGTTGACGAGAGCAAGCCTTGCAGTGACACGAACCTTAAATTGGCGTGTGTCTTGTTCAATTCTGAGCACGTTCTGTAGCTCTGTTCTCTTGCCGCCCGCCGCTGAGCCAGCCATAGATCGCCGTCGAGTGCCCATCACAAACTGCCGCTGCTCCGAAGTCAGAAAATCTAGGAACACGTTTTGGTATCAAAACACATGCCATAATCTGCGCCTATCATGGCCAGGGTCAAACGTCATGTTATTGCTGTGTTGGGTATCGGCAACGATTTTTCGTGCAACTGAACCCATGGCGGGCAAAACAGGAAAAATTAATGTTTACTTCGTTCCATAATTATTTGATCCTAGCTTGACCTCACGCTGACCCCGTCCCAAAAGACCAAGTCCCTCGCAACAAGTTGTGCTCTGTCCATGGGCTGGCGCCGAACGGTTCCGATGCTCGCGAAACTTTTCCCGTCCAAGTAGCTTCAGGCACTCGCTATTTGCCCTTGACATGTATGGCCTGCGGTCGGTTGCAACGGTCGCGCTAAAGGTCAGTGGGCGTCAGAAGGTAGGACGGACCGCACCAAACATTGCGGCGCGTTAAGCTTTCGACACAAAATTATGTCATTGCCTGGGATCGCGGGATCGGATGGTAGTGGTCAGTGCTCACACAACAAGCATTGCTCAGTGCGAGCCCTGATCCCAGAAATCCATCCATTCAAAAGGTTCAGATAAAATCTTTGAAAAAACTTCAAGTGGCCCAAGGTAGTGGAAACGCCAGCTAGGAGGTGGAATAGAACACTGAACTAAGGGGTGGTTTATTGGGTTAAAATGATCGCACCAAAAATTGGGTCCGCCCATGTTCTTTTCTTGGCCGCCCAAGCACAGTGGACTTCCTTTACTAATCCTAAATTTGGTAGCATATTCTAAATCAGATAATGGCGCAGTAGCGACAAAATAAGAGTTTTTGCTGGCGTTGATAAAAATAGGCCGTTTATCGTAATGTCGGATGTATTTTGTCACACGCCTGCTCCAAGTCCAACTATATTTAAACCTGGTTTCTTTGCTGCCAGAATTCAGCAAGTGTCTACGTGATATCAAGCCTCTTTATATATATTTCCACAATCAGATGAAATTTGTTTAGAGTATTAACCCATCGATGTCAAAATGTGCAAGCTCATCATTTTCCGCTTTATTTGACCGACGAACCATTGACCACCAGATTTTTAACCTGAGAGCTTCTTGCAGTCTCCACCAGTCTTAAAAAGCTTGTGTTTAGGCGTTGACTTGTGTGAGACTGTTGGTTGCTCAGATTTTGCTGCTTCCCATTGTAGTGAAAGGTTTTGTACACTGCTGTGGATGTCAGTAATTATTGCCTGATTCAGTATCAATTGCACCGATATTTTCCATCCTTGCTGCATATGTAGTGTGGTATGAAGTTGTTTATTTTCCTTTACTTTTATCTCAAAAGTGTAGAGTTAAAATTTTGGGGTTCATGTTTGTGTTATTTGAAATTGCATTTGATACTGTATTTTACTATGCTTGTCCAAAATCCACTTTTGTACTTTGTTTCAGATTTCATTGGCGATCATGGTTGGGCCATTTCCTCTGTCCAAACTGGGAATGCTTATCATCAGGCAAATTAGTAGACCAATAGCAAACTCAATGAAGGAAAGAGCAAAAAAGAGTTACTTTTTCCGCACATATGTTTGCATGCCACCTGCTCAATGTAAGTGATGTTGGATAGACATTTAGTTTTCTAGACCTCATCTTATGTCAGCACCTACATGTGCTGGTCTAAATTTCTGCATTCCAGCATGCACAGATGTTTGATCACAGAATGCTAGGTATTTGCAGTTGGGCTTGCTTCCTTGTGAGGACAGTATATACCTAATGTGTTTTTAGACATCATTGAGTGTTAGTCATGCTACATGTGTTCAAAAATGTTATGAAAATTTTCCAAATTTATTTCAGTCAGAATTCATAGATGTCAATTTGTATTCCCTTGACTAGTATAATGTCATGGTGTGTTGCATTCAAAGTCAGGCATCATGCTGATAATGCACTGTACTTACTATACCCTGGTGTGTACCAACATGTTCTTTTCTGGTTGGTGCATTTCAGTGTACCATTGGTGTGAGGTGAGAACCAGGATGTGGATCATGGGAATGGAAAGGTCTGGTGCAGTACCTAAGTTAAATGAAACAATGGCCATAGAACTGGGTGGCAACATGATTGGTGAAGGTAAGCATTTGGCTTTGCAACATTTTAAGCACACCACCACTCTGGCTGCACTGTTATCCTTGGGTTGTTGCAACCAGCTTCATCAGTTATTTGTGAAGTGTTTATTGTAAAAATTGTTCTCATCCTTGATGCCCAGATAATGCTTAAAGTCATTTATGCCCTGGTAGGAGTCATTTTTTAGGAATGCTACAGGCTTTATTTTGGTAGAATTTCATGTTGGCAAACAGTTGTAGGCTGGCCAAGTGAGTGGCAACAATCAATCTGAGCATACTTGCTCATACAATGCAGTGTCATAGTATGATCATAAGTGCCATAAATCATAATATGGTCATAAACTGAATGGATAATGATTAATGCTGGTCTTCATGCATCACCTTTGGCATGTTTTTAAAGCTAATGTTAAGTAGTGCAGAGATTATTTTCTCAGCAGAACTTTGCCTTTTGCATGTCTCAACTACACCATGCTCAGTGCATGGTGTTCTCATGAAATACTCTGTTTGTGTCTGTCAAATGTTCCCTGCCCTGTTCAAAGGCCCTGATCTCGTGATCTGGGGGAGGGCGTTAGATGTGTGATTCCAAATTGTGGAAACTGGAACCTGTGCTTTCATGAGGGGGAAAGTCAAGCACCATTAGGGACATACCTTGCTTCCTTCCCCCCCCCCCCCCCCCACACTGACATTGTTTGCACCATTTCTCTCTTTGAGTCAGACTGATCCCAGTCCTGAAGTAGCCACAAATGAGCACATTCCACTTTAGGGCACAGTCGTCCATTTTGTGTCGTTCTTGCTTTTGTGGCCTCAGCATTTTCATGTCCAGTCATTGATTTAGTTTCCCAGCTTCTTCCGTGATCCCACCGAACCCGCTGCTGACCCGGGCCGGACGTTCGGCGCTCGGCTGTCGCGCGCCCCGCAGGCATCGTGTTCGGGATCGCGGCCACCATCCTCGTGTACGAGTACAACCGGTCGGCGGCCAAGGAGGAGGCGCGCGAGGCGGACCAGCAGCAGCGTCTGCTGGAGCTGGACAGCCGGCTGGACGACCTGCGCTTCACGGTGGAGGAGCAGGACGCCAAGATCCGTGAGCTGCGCCGGCTGCTGGCGGTGCCGGCCGGGCCCGGCTGGACCGAGCCCGGCCGGCGCCCGCCCAGCTGATCACGCGACGGAGCGCGCTTTAGCCGGTAGCCGTTGTGAGCGGGGCGAGCTTGTCTTGAGAGCGTGGTATACTGTTGCCAGCGAGCGAGCTGGATAGCCGGTGACGTTACGTTACGGGTGGGCGGTTTGGGTGACAGACTTGTGCGTGGCGATGACTGTTGTTGCGGCCGGCGTCCAAAGGGTAGTGATGGAAAAATTGTCGATGATGTGACAATTTACCAGCGCGAGGTTTGCATACTGAAAAGCGCTGCCGTCCTGCACATTCTTGCACAGCGACGGGGTTGAGAATGTTTGTTTTATTCCCTTCCGTAAAGAGGCTGGTAGATTCTGTAAAAATGGCATTAGCTCGACGTGGAACAGCCGGTGTTTACCGTGCTTATTGATCGACTTGTGTTACGGCGAATACCATCGAACCAGTTTTTGCATATGCGGTCTTTCGACAATGTTGTGTCCGTGAGTCGGTCACATGCGTAGCGTAGCGACTGCCAGTGCGGGAATGGCCGGTGTTTTACACGCCGGCGTACTGTGCATACGGTGGAAGTCATCGATTCGGTTTTTGACGTTGCAGCCGTTCAGTAATGTTTCGTCTACGGGTGCGTCATTTGCGTAGAGCCGCTGCATACACGCGGGACGTCTGCCCCGCCGCCACCAATCTTGAAACATTGTTGCCGCACATTGCGGCACCTATAACATTTTAAACTTGACATAGGTACGTGCTGTGTTCAGCAACTTCATGGCAAATTGAAGTGATGACGTGATATGGTGTCTCGGATCTATGCGCCAGGTGCTTACGAAGTACCGCGATTCGGTGGACATCTCTGCTTAGAGATGGCTACGGTCCCGACTCGCCACGTGCGCTGGTGAGACTGTGTCGCGTGGGGCCCTCTTCCTGGCGCATATTTTACAATGGCCTTAGGCACCCAGTTGTGATTGTTGCGAGGTCCGATATTTACAAGCCGTCAATGGGAGATGCGTTGTGTACTGTGCAATACACCACAGCCAACGAGATGTGTTGTGTACCATGCCCGTACCCTGTGCAATATACCACAGCCAACGACTGCTCTGGTCTACGCTGCCCGGCCGGCGGCGCGCGCTGCTGCCGCTCGCCGCCTCTGGCCGGGCCTTGGTCACCTCCGTCCGACTGTCCAGAGCTGCGCCACCGGCCGCCAACGGGGCCGCGTGCTCGTGTAGGTTTCGGGGCCAGTCGGACAACGCGCGTGCAGATTCCGCGCATCCAGCGAGGTCGTATCGCATGCAATAAGCGATTGTTGTTTTGGAGAGCACTTGCAGCCGGTGGCCACCTGTATGTACATTTCGGAACACCGCAATGCGTGCGGGCTCGCCCCTGGTATATTATAACGCATCGAAAACCTGTGGAGACAGGCTCCATAAGGTACAAGTGGTTTATGACGCACTGCACCGCACACGAGTATGAACCGGTAGCGGGAAAGGGTGCTTCCCGCATCTATCCAGTCCCGTTTCTCACTACCGAATCTCGCGCCGCGTTTTCGCTCACGATGAAACCGCAAAGCGCACGCCCGACCCCTTTGCAAGCCAGTGTGTGACAGACGCATGCCACTCGGCTTCGCCATGGTGACACCGCGTCCCATCCACTGAGGCACACGGCGCGCCGGAGGAACCGGCTGGTCGCAGCGGCGGGCTTACAGCCGCTGTCTCCGAGGCCTAGCACGCCCCCTGTGACAATGATGCCGACACATCAAGGCAGAGCTCACTAAACGCTGCCGCACCATGCAAAGCTGACGCAGAAGCAGACGCCTGCCTCAGTTCAGGCCTGCCTAGAACAGGGCGTCTGCCTGCCCGAACACGGGCGCCTGCGACGACGCACGTTTATTCTGAAAGATTGTTCGTCAGATTACTACACAACAGGAATGGAGCGTACCTGAGTATGGTGGGTACAGTAAGTCGCAGCTGTTTCGCATTCCTGACGGCCTTACAGGTCATCGACAAACGATGCAGTAGCCGGTGCACCGACGGGAAATACACGGCCAGCTGTATACAATTCAGCGAAGCCCCGTCAGCAAGTCATTTTTTAAAGCAAGCTCATATTATGCCTTAGGCCTTAGCAGGCTTTGGCCTGACGCCTGCTTTCATTCCCGACCAACCGACGCCGCTCTGCAAGGAAAGACCAATTCACAGAAAGCACGTGATTTTGTGATTTGTGAGGCGTCTCGAAGTCATTCTCCACGTCAGTGCGAACATTATCATCGCCTTCGCCGCGTTGTCTGCTGACACTAGTCTCTCAATCGCTACAGTACGAAATTGAAGACAGGCAAGACGGTCACAGCACATCCAGACAGCTGTCTGCCCCGCCTCTTAAAGCTGTCTGCCTCGCCTCTTCGGTGGACTGCGAGTCATGCATCGCGCGTGAAATACAGTCTGGACTGCCAGGCGACTGATACATGCACAAGCCAACCACATGGAAATCAAACGATCCCGTAAATACCTGGTCAAAACCTATGACATTGGAGCCAGTGTACGGCTTCTCCATGGCTATGCCACGTGCATTGTCGCAATATGCACATGATCATTTGAAGTCCACCTGATCAAACCTCCAGGCCAGCGAAACGGCAGCTCCTGCCATGCACAAAGGACAGGAACGACAGCAACGACACAATTACATATCGCAGTGGCTGCCTTAAAACTGCGATCCCTGCGTCCCGACATATACGACGCGATGTACAAAACTATTCCACGGGCGCTCCACACTCCAAGTGGCACTGTCGGCCGAGGGGAGGAGGCAGGGACGAGACCAGCCGGTCGGTCTCGCTGGAATGCGGTCACGTGACGCGCTCTGCTCCAGCCGGCGGTCCGTCCACCAATCAGATGATCTGGATGGAGGCGTTGCTGACGAAGGCGCCTATGCAGAGGCCGGCACCCAGGAAGGCAGCCATCATGGAGCTGGCTGTGTTCTGCTCCTCCCGCTCCACCAAACTGGGGTAGAGGTCCGTGCGAGGTCATGTTAGAAGTTGTCCCTGGTTCAACCCGAATCGCCCTGGGCTTGGTGACATCTGACTAAGAGATCACCCCTCGCCCTAGTTGACTGTGACAAAAGTCAAAACGAGTTCAGAACAAGGAGCATTCCCAGGCCCCGCACTGGGCAGAGGTTAGAACAAGGTCACACTAAAGACGCGCTTAAGGTGATGTGCACCCCCCCAATGGCCCAGAACTGCAACCAGTCCACGTGTGCGCGTTGTGATTTTGGACACCTGAATCTTGACATGGCTCGTGATCAACTTCCTGGACATCACTCATTAGGGACACCACTCACTACCGGGTGGAGCTGAGTTCAGTACATGAATGCAGTAAAATACTGGAAAAACCTAATAGGTGTGCAGTGCAGGTTATGACTTTTAATTGTATTCAATATTTTGCGGCCTGTAACTGAAGCCAATGTGGTGCAAATGCTCCAACAGCGAATGTACCACAAATTCGAATAATTTTGTGACCACAATTTTCGCAGGAAACTCAAGAAATTGTACACTGCATTACACTGATAGCATATATGGGCCGTGAGCAAACAATTCAGCACATTTAACAGTGATCTGGTAGAAACGTTCTCGCCCGTCCTGGCCTCAAACGCACTTTTTACTTTTAGTTACAGATTCGGCAAGTTCCCTACTGAGTCACTGAGACCATGAGGCACGTCCTAGAAACACGGGAAATTCATGGCGCACCGTACATTAGAACTTTGACCCGGCACACCATGAAAGTTTGGCTTCTCTTCTCTGGGCCAAAACAGATTAAAGGACCGGCGCAATACAATCAAATAATCTTTCTTTCGGTACCGCGTTCATCAATAGAATTCGGTTCACAGCTCGGCGAAAATCCGGCCTTCATTTAACACGTTAACCCTGTGGGCTGACAGGAAAAGTAGGCCGTCGGGCAATCGCGCTGCCAACGTCCTTCGACGTCCGCCGGCCATACACGACTGTGTTCCCTGCTGCCTATTGCCGGTGCCAACCAACGAGCCTTTTCTACAAAGAGTGTGCTTCGGTCATGCGGAGGAAGTCTCACCCAGGCCCGTAGATCATGCACAGTGTGGACAGGTAGCCGTTGCTGAGGCCGAACAGCGTCATGAAGGCGATGTAATAGATGTCGCTGTTAAAGACGGTGTCCAGGTGCTTGTGGTCCACGTTGCAGTACATCAGCAGTGGGAAGAAGGCCAGCCGCACCACCGCCATCGCCAGCACCAGGTACCACTGGTGCTTCCTCGGCTGAGACGGCATAGGCGGCGGTTAAGGCTTGGGATGGGATAGACATCACGCAGGCTTAGTGCATGCGGGATGGCATGGGCAGAACTCAGGTTAGACTGCTCGCATATAACGGGGGACGTCGCCGAGGGAGCTCTACCCCACCCCCTCCCCTGTGTCAGAAGTTTACGCACGACTGGGCGATTCAGCAGAAATTTCGTCGAAAGCCGCAGAATTTGGGAGAGAAAGTGCGGCATTCGTTCGCCCTATACGTCAAAACTTGGCTACGTGCCTTGTAGAAAACAGAAGAGAACAATGGTCAGGGTCACAGCGGCAAGTCGTCAGTCAAACCGAGACAACAGTACAGGGGAACTGGGAAATCGGATACAGGAACGTGTGAGAATCAAACAGAAAACTGGTGCGCAAGTGACACAGCATGAACATTTATCCGCAATCGAGGCAGCAAAAGCCACCTGGCGTAAGTGTGGAGAACTCCAGTTCAAAGGGAGGACGACATGAAATTTAAAAGTCATCCGCAGCCAACGCAGAAGTATGGCGCGACGCCGGACAACACCTTACCCAAACAGTGAATCCTCCAGCAATGCGACCGAGGTAGTCGCATCCGTTGTAAAGGAGAAAACAGCACACCGGTACAAAGTAGTTCGCTAAAAAACACAGCAGCGCCACAATGTTTGATGCTCTTCGATACACAAATTCAACGAAATGATCACACTGGCATAAAATGGTATGGGAGTAAATCGAACCGCATGCGTGATGTAAATAGCGAAAAACAACTTTGAGCAAGAAGCAAAACAATATCATAACATAATATTGTAGTTTTGTCATACACTACGTCAGTGACAAAACACACCAGCCTCATTCGGTCTAACAAAAATGAGCCTTACGTAGGCGCACATCACCAATAAAGCTTTTCCTTGGACTCCGCGGCAGCTACACTGAGTATACTTGACGCTTAAGAATTATTTGAACAGCAGTGCAGAGCGCGTCCAGTTCATACATTGCAGCAGCACGCACTGGCCCAAACCGAATGCTGGTCCGCTGGGCCGGAGCCGATCCACTTGATCTTGGCCGTGACAGCCGGGAACAGCGCCAGCGTGACGCTGTACACCAGGAACACGGAGAGCGCGTACCACTTGATCTGCGGCAGGCGGGCCAGCAGTCACACCTCCGAAGTGAGGGACATCCGGAGGGACCCGAGACTAGGGACTGGGGATGGCCAGCCGGCACAAGGGATGAGCGTTCGACTTCTCTGGCTTGGTTTGGCGAGAGCTCCTCTGGCCAGCAAAGTCCGTCTCGCAGCTATGGCTGAGGGAGGGGTGATTGGCGGGATAGCATGCCGGCCGTCTCCGCTACCGAATCCACCCCGCACTGGGACACGTCTCCGAGGCTGTGGCGGCGCTCGGACGGCACTCCCGCCGGGCCGCTCGAGAGGCCGACTCATGCCGGACGGTCGCCGCCCGCCTCAGGTGAGATGGAATGTCGGCAGGGTACAGGGGAAGCCGTGAGTGGAAACGAACGACGGGTGCGCATCCCGTGCAATGAGCCAGACGTTGACCCACACTCGAAGCGCCTGAAAAAATCCGACAGCTGCATTTCGACCTCGCATGATAAGTACAGCTGGACGAGCACCTACGCTTTGGCAGCTGAGCTGGTAACGATCGATCACTGAAAACCCATCGAGAGTGAGTCAACTCTGGGAGCGTTCGCCTCTGAGAAATCGCAGAAGATGCTCTCAACACAAACGTCTGCGCAGGTCGTTAGATGGCGGTAGTGATGGTGGCTTCAAACAAAGCCCCAGGCACGGGTGCGCCACCATGACCACGCAGGGTCGGGTCAGGATCCACAAGCACCAGGACATGTTAGACAGTAGACTGTCTATCGGAACATACCCTGCCTTCCTCCAAGTCCTCCCCGCCGGCACGTACACAGCATTCTTCCACGTCTTTTCCGGCACGTCACTAGCATTCCTCAAAGTCCTCTCCGGCACATTCCAGCGTTTCCTCGGCCAGCACGTACCCAGCACTCCTACAAGTACTCCCCGCTAGCGCACACCAGCCAGCTGGCACTCTCATCGGCAGTGCCTTTAAAGCGCAAAAAGACATAGCAGACAACGCGCATGGATTGTACGTCGACCACCGTCGACCTTTGTGCTTAAGGGAAGCAGCGGCTGCGGCGGAGCAGGCTAAGCTCGTGATCACCGCCATGGCCACTCGGAGTGTGCCATTTAGACCACCAGGTGCAAACGTCAAATGGTGCAAATGGCGCGTGGTACAAATGTTTGGTATAGCTGTTTTACCATACCCCAGCAGTGACAAGTGACCCCAGCGGGGGCCAGTTGCCCGGATCACCCCCGTCGATCGGAGACGTGCCCGCCCCGCAGCGCACGGCGCCGCGGCCGGCTCACCTTGAGCAGGATGGCCCAGGCGGAGATCTGCGGCGCCTTGTCGACCGGGGATGGAGCGAGTGCGTCCTCGGTCGTCGACGGCGCCGTCGACAGGGCGGTGTGTAGTACTCATAAAACGACTGCAACGAGACGTCGACGGTGTCAGTCGGCGGAGACGGCGCGTGACACGGCCCGCCAAAGCCAACACGGCGCGTGACACGGCTCGCCAGAGTCCACACGGCGCGTGACACGGCCCGCCAGAGCCAACACGGCGCATGACACGGCCTGCCAGAGTTCACAAGGCACGTGACACGGCCCGCCAGAGTCCACACGGCGCGTGACACGGCCCGCCAGAGTCCACAAGGCACGTGACACGGCCCGCCAGAGCCAACACGGCGCATGACACGGCCTGCCAGAGTTCACAAGGCACGTGACACGGCCCGCCAGAGCCAACACGGCGCATGACACGGCCTGCCAGAGTTCACAAGGCACGTGACACGGCCCGCCAGAGTCCACACGGCGCATGACACGGCCTGCCAGAGTCCACAAGGCACGTGACACGGCCCGCCAGAGCCAACACGGCGCATGACACGGCCTGCCAGAGTTCACAAGGCACGTGACACGGCCCGCCAGAGCCAACACGGCGCATGACACGGCCCGCCAGAGTCCACACGGCGCGTGACACGGCCCGCCAGAGTCCACACGGCGCGTGACACGGCCCGCCAGAGCAGACACGGTGCGTGACACGATTCGCCAGAGCAGACACGGTGCGTGACACGATCGGCCAGAGCAGACACGGTGCGTGACACGGTCCGCCAGAGCAGACACGGCGCGTGACACGACCCACCAGCGCCGACAGATGCCGACAGCGTGACACACGCGGATGGGGAAGGAACCAGGTGGGCGAGGCCCGCCGGCTAGACAGGTTAAAAGGGGGAAACAGGCACCGACGGACATCGAACAGTTGCCAAGCATTCAGTCGGTATGCACGCGTTCCATGCTTGGCAGCGCATGTCCCATTCGTATAGTTCAGTGTCCCGATAGCTCGGGCGAACTGTGCAGATACGACGGGTGAAGGGGTCGATTGGGTCGCCGCGGCTCATCATATCTGCCTCACAAGTGGCCTCTTATCTAACTGCATTATCCATAGCATGAACACTGCAATCTGACAAACAAAGTGTGACTAACATGTCAAACTTTTACAATAAAAATGAAGACAGAGGCAAAAGATGACAAAATAGTACCCGATGCGTTCCAAATATGTCCCATAATGATGCTCTTATGAGTATTTTCTACTCCACGCAGAGGTCACCACAGTCATGGTAATAGTCCACGAAGCCGTTCAAACGAAGGCGATTTGGGAACCTCCCTAAGGACGCAAAAAAGCTCAAGTCCGCCCCCCCCCCCCCCCCCACTCCGATGGCATCAGCCGCGGATCAGCACACCTGACGACACAGAGGCGCGCACCCAGGTCTCATCCCATGCAACACCCCACTGATAGCACCTCAAGTGTGGCCGTTGCCCGGATCAAATCATTAGACTCGAGAGGCTGATACCGGTCCACGAGCGATCAACGGGCCGAAGGTTACGGGGGCCCGCGCTGGCACGCATATCGCAGCTCATGAACGCGCCAAGCGAGCACGAGCACCGACCGGACGACACGCTGCCACCTCTCACCAGCGCAGCGTCTGGCGGCGCTCACCGCGATACCAAACCGCGGCACGGGACGACAGCCGGCAGACGGTGCAGCCGGGAGAGCAGCGCAATTCGGGGACAGCGAGACCGAAGCGTCCTCGCCATCAGATCACAGCAAGGATGTCCGCCATGCAGACAGGTCCAACGACCCGCGCGCCTGCGCACGGCGGTCCGGGCGGCGGCAGCCGTGGCCGCGTCGGACGGGCTCACCATGCGCGACATCCAGATGTAGGAGGCGATGGAGATGACGAGGGTGACGTCGGCCAGGATGAAGTAGACCAGCGCTGAGTTGACAGCCGCCGCGTCCTGGTCCTGCCCCGACACGGCTATAGAGACTATCCTGAGGCGGAAGAGGAGAGGGCTGACCGGCGGCGAAAGGAGCCGCCAGCGATGGGCAGAGGGCTGGCGCGGCGCTCTCGGCTCGCAGGCCACTCGCAGCGGAGCGTGCTGGGAGGCGTCCCAACATATCGGCACACGCGGCATCCCGTTTTGAAACCGGTCCTGATACACACGCGAAAATAGGCCCTCTGGAAACTGGACTGAATAGATGAGCACCCATAAAAACCAGGCAGATCTGGACTAACCAAACAGGGAGACGTAACCCCAGTATGGAACCCAAACATGGCGTACAACCAAAAAGCACTTCCATATCGACCAGCAATGAAAATAATCTTAACGCACAATCTAAAGCAGTTGCTGTAGATTGTGTGTTAAGGCGAGTTCATGTAAGGTGACAACCTCGACTGGGTTATCCTAAGTGCTATCCTGGGTGCTAGTGGACGTAGGGACGAAGCCAGCTTCGGCATCGTCTTTCGTCTTCGAAAGACCGATGCACCTCCCCCCCCCCCCCCCCCCGAGCGGCCTCCGCACCACCCCTTGCCGCCCGAGTGCTGCTCCCACTGACCTGGCCACGCAGGCGAACCACAGCGCCGAGCGGCCTCCGCACCACCCTTGCCGCCCGAGTGCTGCTCCCACTGACCTGGCCACGCAGGCGAACACAGCGCCGAGCGGCCTCCGCACCACCCTTGCCGCCCGATCGCTGCTCCCACTTGACCTGGCCACGCAGGCGAACACAGCGCCGAGCGGCCTCCGTACCACCCTTGCCGCCCGATCGCTGCTCCCCACTGACCTGGCCACGCAGGCGAACCAGCGCCGAGCGGCCTCCGCACCACCCTTGCCGCCCGATCGCTGCTCCCACTGACCTGGCCACGCAGGCGAACACATCGCCGAGCGGCCTCCGCACCACCCTTGCCGCCCGAGTGCTGCTCCCACTGACCTGGCCACGCAGGCGAACACATCGCCGAGCGGCCTCCGCACCACCTCTGCTGCCCGATCGCTGCTCCCACTGACCTGGCCACGCAGGCGAACACATCGCCGAGCGGCCTCCGCACCACCCTTGCGCCCGATCGCTGCTCCCACTGACCTGGCCACGCAGGCGAACACAGCGCCCGAGCGGCCTCCGCACCACCCTTGCCGCCCGAGTGCTTGCTCCCACTGACCTGGCCACGCAGGCGAACACAGCGCCCGAGCGGCCTCCGCACCACCCTTGCCGCCCGAGTGCTGCTCCCACTGACCTGGCCACGCAGGCGAACACATCGCCGAGCGGCCTCCGCCACCACCCTTGCCGCCCGAGTGCTGCTCCCACTGACCTGGCCACGCAGGCGAACAACAGCGCCCCGAGCGGCCTCCGCACCACCCTTGCCGCCCGAGTGCTGCTCCCACTGACCTGGCCACGCAGGCGAACACATCGCCGAGCGGCCTCCGCACCACCTCTGCTGCCCGATCGCTGCTCCCACTGACCTGGCCACGCAGGCGAACACATCGCCGAGCGGCCTCCGCACCACCCTTGCCGCCCGATCGCTGCTCCCACTGACCTGGCCACGCAGGCGAACACAGCGCCCGAGCGGCCTCCGCACCACCCTTGCCGCCCGAGTGCTGCCTCCACTGACCTGGCCACACAGGCGAACACATCGCCGAGCGGCCTCCGCACCACCTTTGCTGCCCGATCGCTGCTCCCACTGACCTGGCCACGCAGGCGAACACAGCGCCGAGCGCCTGACCGGAGATGACGGCCGACAGGTACCTGGCTGGGAACTGAGCAGCCACGCCGAACAAGCCGCCCTGGAACACGGCCGACCCCACTACGACCGGCGCCGGCCGCACGCACAAGTCAGGTCCGGGCGCCAGTGACACGCACGAGACGCAGGTCCGAGGTGCAACGGCCGGCATCACCACAGCGCGGACGACGACATCGACAGAGGGGGGGGGATCCTCATCCAGCGCGGTCGGATGGTCATCGCTCTGCGCATATCATCGAGCAGCTTCTCGGATACAGTGCGGAACGTCACAAGCAGATCGTCAGGCAGCAGCGTTGCCCCTGCTCGTGTCGCAGCCCTACTCAAATTTACATGTTTCGCGAATGCATACGGAATCATCCCCACCAGTGAAATTCACATCAAATCCTGGATATGAAATAAAGGTGATGTCTGACCCACCGTTCAAGATCACAACCATCACCATAGTGATAGAAAAGAAGGTGATTTGCCAGTCGTCTGAGTTGATGGGCACCAACACCGTGGTCAAGATGAAGAAGACGATGACGACGACCAGGGACAGGACTAGCTTCAACTGCTGGCGTATTCTGGAAAAAGGTGACACAACAAATAAGGTGCGAAAAAAATCACGCCACTCAAAAGAAGCTGGGGCGGCAAAGAACAGGTGGACTCACCTGAGACGATAGTCATAAGGGCCGCAAGGTTCGTTCTACCGCTGTGCATGACATCGCAAAGGGAGCGCAAGCAACCACGACGAGCACTTCAACGGACCATACCGTACGAGTAGACCGGCGAGCCGGGCGGGCCGGCGGGCTGGGCGGGCCAGGGGCCGGGCGGGCCGGGCGGGCCTGCGGGCTGGGCGGGCCAGGGGCCGGGCGGGCCTGCGGGCTGGGCGGGCCAGGGGCCGGGAGGGCCTGCGGGCTAGGCGGACCAGGGGCCGGGCGGGCCTGCGGGCTGGGCGGGCCAGGGGCCGGGAGGGCCTGCGGGCTGGGCGGGCCAGGGGCCGGGAGGGCCTGCGGGCTGGGCGGGCCAGGGGCCGGGCGGGCCGACGGGCTGGGCGGGCCGGGGGGCCGGCGGGCCAGGGCCGGGCGGGCCGGCGGGCCGATGGGCAGGCGAGCAGGCGAGCAGGCGGGGTGTCGGGGCGTCGGGGTGTCCGGGCGTCGGGACTTCGGGGCGTCGGGACGTCGGGACGTTGAGACGTCGGGACGTCGGGACTTCGGGGCGTCAGGACGTCGGGACGTCGGGACTTCGGGGCGTCGGGACGTCGGGACGTTGAGACGTCGAGACGTCGGGACGTCGGGACTTCGGGGCGTCAGGACGTCGGGACGTCGGGACTTCGGGGCGTCGGGACGTCGGGATGTCGGGGGAGCGGGATGTCGGGAGAGCGGGACGGCAGGCCGACGGGCGTAGGGAACCGGGCATCGGACCACGGACCTGGTAACCCGTCGGCGATGACCTCACCCCCCCCCCCTCCCCCCGACCCCAGTCAGGCAGACGTACTTGTGGCCGAAGGCGGCGTTGAGCGTCAGCATCAGCGTGTTGGGTACCATGGACGCCACGCTCAGGTAGCCGAAGAAGTTGTCTTGCAGGTCAGTCTGCGCATCCGCCGAAGAGTTGGTGGTGTTTCGAAACTTGTAGTTCCAGTACTGCCAGAGACACCGGCAGGCAGGTCAGTGGCGCTACGTCCCATCCAAAACGACGGACATGGGCACATACAAAAGAGTAAGGTCTGACCTATCAACATCTTGAACACGAGCAAGTTCTCAAGCTCTTGGTTCCCGGCATTATGAGTTGCAATGCTGAAAATAGTTAATTTTGACTATCCTAACCGGTAAGAAGCAAAGGATATGGGAGCTATCATTGTGATACATGATGTGCCTGTGAGTTGATTTTTATTCATTCGTAAGGGCTCTGGTCGTTCAAATGTTTGTTTGGGCCACAGCACTTCTTTGCCCGCATATTACAAAACTTGAGGAAGAGGTTAGGTTTATACAGGCCTGCCTTCTATGGATAATGTGTGATGACAATGACTAATATGACCTCAAATAAAGGACTAAATGAAAAATGGCACACCAATTCAAAACCAAATTTATCGGTCGCCGAAACAAAATGGTCGAAATCCATTGGTACCCGCACACATTTGGGGCACACGTTAAGTTGTCGGACTCTCAGCGCAGACACCCTCTTCGCTCCCGACGCGTCCCGTCCCCAGATCTGGCTCACTGCGACTTCCTCCTTTCCTCAAGATAAAGTTCAAGCTGAAGGACCGCCGTTTTTACACCGTGGAGATCTAGCGCGAATCGCATGCGGTGTTTGACACCCTTGGGGAGAGCGGGACTTTCCGGTACAGTCCCGGGCTTGGCAGAAGCGCTGTGGACGGCGTAGTACGGCGCAGCGTGTCGAAGGAAATGGCGGTCAAATGTAAATCGGGCACGTCTCCTGCTTTGAATCAAGATAGTCTCTGAACTTTTAGACCGCATCTCGCAAGTAAATATATATGTATATATATATATATATATATATATATATATATATATATATTTAATATATATACTTTAGATCGTGTTTTACACCGCGCATGAGTATCATACATATATATATATATATATATATATATATATATATATATATATATATATATATATATATATAATTTAATATATATACTTTAGATCGTGTTTTACACCGCGCATGAGTATCATATATATATATATATATATATATATATATATATATATATATATATATATATATGCACATATACAAAATAAGGTCGGCATAGGGCCTTGACCTAAGGATACGTACCAAACAAAATCAGGGTATTGACTCACCGAATCAGCTGTGATAAAGAAGTTCCATGGCAGAAGAGTGCCCATTCCAAGCAGGTAGAATATGCAGTAGACAATAGTGGACCTGAAATAGGATGGATTTAGCCAATGACTAGGCCACGTCATAAAGTAAAAACGGCGGTAAAAATATGTTCCGACGACGCATACATGACCGGTTGCGAACTGAAATGTGATCTTAAGCCGGGGTGAACATGCACATCGAAGGCGAGGTCATGAGTGAGGTTTGACCTAACCTGCTATCACGAAATTCTATATGATCGGGTACCACCCTGCCTGGTCAGCTTCGTTTGACATCATTGTCACGTAAAATGTAAATGTATGTACCAATGTTCATATCACCGATTTACCATATTTGAATGTTTGCATATTTGCAATCGATTTACCCTGTTTATGTACTGATTTGCATTAATTAGTCAGCATTGTATGTCCATGCGTGTAAAAAAATTGTCACCATTGGGACCAGACTGCGTGATCTCGTTTCGTCTAAGCTGGTCCCATCTGGTCCATCTGGTGTTACGCAGATTAGTCTCGGTCTCTGTCTCCAGGCTGACCTGGTCTAAACTTTTCTAGTTTGGCTGGACTCGGTGCCATTGTAGATAAACCGATCAAATCTGGTGCATAAAAGTTTATCTTACAGGATTCTGACACGACTCTTGCTCGGAGACTGAACGCGACGGTAAGGATTTCATTCATGATCAAAGTGTATGGTATACTCATGCGCGATCTAAATCACTTGCATTTAACATGCCGGATAGCAAAATGTTGTTACTTTCATTGGAAATTCTAAATAATGCCACAATGACTTTCCCTAAGAGATAGCCAACATAAATGCTGATAATTATATCCAGCTCACAGAATTTCATTTGAACACGACACCCATACTGAATAAGTTCTCGCAAGAACGGAGTTTCACAATGAAGGGGCGGGGTGGGACAGATGCCTATCTCTCCAGAAAAAGTCGTTTTGTCCTGTTAAGCGTTTTGAGCAATTTTTGGAGAGCTTTGGACTACAAGTGTGTGCGGGGAGGGAACAGCAAAGGGAGCGGGAGCCACAAGTGAGGTACAAAGCTTCTGTCGTGATAACTGGCGACTGAATATATATATGTGTATATATATATATATATATGTATATATATATATATGTGTATATATATATATATATATGTGTGTGTGTGTATACATAGCGAAACGTATAATTAACATTTGGTAGTGAGTTAGTACCAGGAGAACTAAGGCTCGCCTCGTCTTGCTCTTTAGGTGCATCAGATCATTCGTTCTACATCCACTTGGATGCAGTCTTCCTCCTTACGTTTAGAGCCTCATGCTTGACAGTCAGCTCCTCCAAGTCTCACACAGAGGATGGAATCCAGGTATGTCGGGGTGAATTGGAGAGTGCTACGCGACTTAACGACTCCATTCTGACAACAATTAAACGAATCAACCCAAACAAGCCCGTCCAGGCGGCTCGTGTGCCGCCATTCGCAACCCCGCTCTCTACCAAGTGTCACCGAGCCGGGATAATCTCGCACCTGTGGTGTGCCAGACCCATATCGACAACAAAGTGAGGACGACCAGCCCTCGTCCCACAGCTTACGGTTGTTGCTGCTGGCCGGTCTCCGCTTCCTTCTGTTTGTCACGTTGCAGCGAGACGATGCTGGCTCGGCCCCAGCTGGCCGGCACCGGCGAGTCCGACAGCGCCCTCCATGTCGGCGCCGACCTCAGCTCCCGCACAGCCCGACCTCGCGTCACGTACACCTGACCTCGGTCGTGTACGCCTGATCTCGGGTCACGTCCGCCTGGCTTCGGGAGCGTGCAGGCGACCTTGGTTGGCGCACGCCCTGACCGCTGGCCCCGCTCACGTTTCCCTCAGGTGCCGCTGGCGTTTCCAGAAGGCCACACCAGCCGCAGCGGGTCCCGTGACCACCCGAGACGCCGACGGCGGCCTGAGCTCGTACCAGCGCCGAGCTCCGGTTCCGTCCCGGGAAAAGGGAGGAGCGGCCCGGCGGCGGTGACCTGGGGCGCAGCAGTGCGTCCGTCTCAGCGCTGGCCCACCTCTTACAGATAAGGGCACGGCGCCGCCGAACAGCAGCCGGCACAGACCACCGGTCAGCGGCACGCTGCTCTTGTACTCGACAGATAGCGACTTCATGAGACAGTCTCGAGAGAGAGTCACATCTTAAGCAGATCTCTGTGTAGACCTCGCCTGTAGCCTTGGCCGGGAAGCATCAAAACGTACAAGATGTGCAGCGTGCAAGTTGCACGCATTGGTACAAGTAACAATTTTACACGCTGTACGCCAGCAGCCAGGCACGCAGCCAGGGCATTGGAAAGGGAGAGGCAAAGGGTTGACAAAGGGCTCCTTGATGACGATATGTTTTTCTTTTATATTTTGCATTTTTCCTTTTGGTTCCCGGAAAAGAAGCCAGGAACTAGCGCGAGATCAATACTGACGGTATCTTGTAGTCAATCAAATGAAGAAATGATGCGTTAAGCTACTGTATGAAAAAGCTCACCGGCGCTGTTCAATTTTCAATGGTCCAGTGGACTCATTTTAAATAGAGAGAACTCAGGCATCAGAATCTTTATCAGCGCTGTGCATATATGAAGGACCACGCGCATATAGATCGAAATGGGTCAACAAATTGCATTGGCATAGCCAAGACATGTTTATGTGAAAATGTTCCACATTTAGCCAGGATTGATAGGCGATATAAGTCATGCGACGTAGTTTTGAGCATGTGTGCTCGCAAATCTTAGCAACACAAAACATCGATGCCAGGCGTTGCAGTCTCCATAAGCCCCGCCGAGTCCGTGCTGGGCTTAAAATTACGTTGTGTCCAATGGGTGGACGAAAATGATTATGCATTCCAAAGAAAATCTCTCAACTATTTCAATTATTTCTGTCATCTACAGCCAATCCTGTGGGCACTTATGCCCTCCAACCGTGCCTTTGATAGCGTGTTCCGTTGGACCACCTCAGCCCCTCTTTAAGCCTCATCGAACCCTGTCATTTTTCGCCTCGGGGCCCCTCCGAGCGCAAAACCCTCTGTTAGGCGCTGTGGGCCTGTGACAGATGCAAGGGCCCCCAGCCAGTGTAAACCACTGGCCCCGGCTTTGCAGCTGGCTGGGAAGTGCGCTCCCAGGTCCACACCGATGGGGAGTGGACTGCGCGGTATTGATGGCATCCTGACAAATATCAGGGCCCATACCGACTCAGGGTGTCGCTGATCAGCGCAAACAGCCCTCTGCCTGTGATATAAGAGCCCGTTCCCGCAGGCCGGGGCCCCTCAATAAGACTCCGACCAGGTCTTCGCGCCTTTGGACCCTCCAATCGAGCCCTTGATCGTCGGATCCGGTGGGCCCTCCAGGCTCTTTGGGCCTCCTCGAACACTATCTCTGGGCTACTACGGGGCCCTTCCCAGCACAGGGTTCCCGTTAGGCGTTGTGGGGTCGCGAAAAAATTAAGTCGCTGGCTCCGGCTTTGTACCTGCTTGGGGTTTTGAAAATAGGCCCTCTGGACCATACCACCACGAAGCCGACTGCGTGCTACTGGTGTTGTCTGACCGGCATATATAACCTTATCGACTCAGGCGGGCCCTGATCAGCGCACAGGTCCACCTGGCTGGCATAAGACCCCGAGACCTGCGGGCCAGGGCCCTTGAGTACGACCTCCGGCCGGCCTCTCGGGACCTTCTGGCCTTCAAATTGGGCACTTCATCGTAGTTCCCGAGGGGCTCGGAGGCTCCTCGGAAGCCAAGGGGGCGGAGTTAGGTGCCCCCCCCCCCCCATCTGTCTGCGCTATCGCCTGCAGGTTTTGGGAAGAGGTCCCCACGCACGGTACCCGTTACCGCCATCTGTCGTTGCAACCCACCTCACCATTCACCCAAACCAGCACCAGAGGGCAGGAGCACCCACGGCCCCTGCCTCACGCAGAGCCCCCCTGGCGCGTGAACTGTGCACCGTAACCCTCATCTCAAGGGATCATATCCGATAAGCGGTCGCAGTGGCAGAACCACGGGCCAGCAGCTAAGGAGAAACCGAGAATGTACATTGGAAAGGCGTTCTGCGCCGCCACACGTTAGACTCCACAAAAACAAGAACAAGGAGAAACGTCTTCCGATGTGGCGGAGCTCACGAGCGGGCCCCCTTGCCTTTACAATGCAAGGACTGCCGCTGATTGGGGCATAGCTCAACTCAAATGCGCGGACGACAACTGGCAAATGGAGCGACGGGCCGCCGTGTGTCCACGACAGCATCCCTGGTGTGCACACACCTGAACACCGCAACGCAACACCTCGAGCAACAATCGCACCAAACATCGTCTTCCACGTGCCACCGAATCCCCAACCAGCAGTTGGTAGTTGCCCTCGCATTCACCCACGGCACCCACCAACCGAGCACCGGAACAAAGCCGCAACAGACTACAGAGCAACGGCCGCCACGCCAGCAATCGTCATGCCATGCATGAGCTTCGCCGCGGCACCTGCCCCGACCCATCGTGTATTGCACCGTGCCATCCCCCGACAAGGAGCGGCCGCGGCTCACACGGGCCACGGCGCTCCGCCGGCGGAGGCCGAGGGCTGCGCGGTCAGCAGCGGCGGCAGGGAAAACCCAGCCCGGATCCCGCTGGCCGCCCGACACTAACGGAACGCGGCATCTGCTGCTGGCAGCTCTGTGAGCGCCGTCCCACCGTGCTGTAATCTTCTGCTTCGTTTTGCCCTTGCATTCTTCCCTGTCCTTGTTAGTGTTGTGGTCACTAACAAATCAGGTACTGCTTGCCAGTGTCTCGCAAAGGTGCAGAGCATTTGACTATGGCTCTGACCTACGTAACTCCTCTAAAAAGATACAGATCTTGGCTTTCATGTCATCTCTGGAAGGCGTCGGTTTGGTCACATGGCATCACATAACCTGCACGTGGGTGGCCCACCACCATCCAGCTGCACCAACCGCATCCGCTAAACCTTTTCACGGTAATGGCCATACTCGGGGCTTGGCAAACCGCAGCTCTCGTCTCTCAACCCCAGACCAACGTCGAACTCGGCCTTCGCGACACGCGAAGGCAGCA